CTGTGGTTGATGGGTGTCATTAGCTGGTCTTTTGTGTGTAGTGATCCCCTGTCCTTGTGGCTGGGTAGAGTTCGTTGACCTTTTGCACACTGTATTTTTGAAAGCTGGGAGCCAAGTTTTGTTGAGCTTCACACTTTCCTCTTTTTTGTTGAAGTTCTGCTGGTACTTGTGGATTTCAATGGCTTCCCTGTGCAGTCTGACGTAATGATTGCTGGTGTTGTCCAGTATTTCAGTATTTTGAAATAGAATTTCATGTCCAGTTTGTTTTAGGGCATGTTCAGCTACTGCAGATTTTTCTGGTTGTTTTAGTCTGCAGTGTCTCTCATGTACTTTGATTCTGGTTTGGATGCTTCATTTTGTGGTTCCGATGTATACCTGGCCACAACTGCAAGGTATCCGGTATACTCCTGCAGTGGTGAGGGGGTCCCTTCTGTCCTTTGCTGACCGTAACATTTGTTGTATTTTTGTGGTGGGCTTGAATACTGTTTGTAGGTTGTGTTTATTCAAGTATCTTGGAAAATTTATTTTTAGGAGAAAAAACTCATAGAATTGAGATCTGGGAGCTGATACCCCAGAAAGCATAGAATTGAGATCTGGGAGCTGATACCCTAGAAAGTACCATATTTTTCCATGTATACAACCCCCAATGTATAAAACAACTCCCTAAATTTGACACTTGCCGGAGGCGGAGGAGGCAATGTATAAAACAACTCCCTAAATTTGAGTTAATTGAGGAGTTAATGGGCAACTGCTCCTCCATCTCTGTCTCCTGCTGCTGCTGTTTCCGCTGCCCGCCCAATCGCCTCCTCCAGTGCAACTGCCAGGGCTCACCTCCAGCTCACGTTGCCGCCTTGTCCCCTGGCCTAAGGAGATGATTACTCAAGGAGGTGATCTGGCGGCTGGGCAGCAGGAAGAGGCGCCCGAGCCTGCATGAGTGCGTGTTTGTCTCTGCCTCTGCCTCCTGCTGCCTGCGCCACAGAGGGGACAAGGCGCCCACATGAGCTGAGCCCGTCAGTCCCACTGGAGGTGGTGATTGGGTGGGTGGGGGAGGCAGCAGCAAGAGGCACCCCAGCACATGTGAATGCTCCTTCTCCTCCCTCTCCACCTCCTGCTGCTGCCACTGCTGCCTCGGCCACCAGAGGGGACAAGCCTCCATGACCTCTGGAAGAGGCAATTGGGGAGCGGTGGTGGCGGCAGCAACAGGCGTCCGAGTGCGTGTGCGATCGCTTCCTTCCGTGTATAAACTGACACTCAATTGACATATTATTCACAGAAAAATACGGTAATATTTCCAAGTTACCTTAGACGACACACAAATTTGGATTCTGGGAGCTGTTGTCCAAGAACATAGCTCTTCCAAGGCATGTTTTTGATACCTTTCAGTAAGCATACTTTAGATTGGCTGCATCTATTTTGAAGGGGAGGAGGCTTTGAGCATCATTCCTGGAAGGTGCTATTCCTGATTCACTTTAGGGTCCACTGTCTAGATTTCTGTAGTAGATTCTGGCCAAATGCTGCCCCACTGCCAGGTCTGCTATTTACACCTCCCCCTCCAGGTGCTGTGTGTGCAGCCTATTTTAGTACCACATACATCCTCCAGTCCCCCCCCCCATCTGTTCAGCCTTTATCACCATCTCCGTGGCACAAAAATCAAGAGCAGGCCTCACCTCCATATTTCATGCCCTCCAGTTGCTCAATCACCCAGGCGGCATCATTGCTGTTTGCGTCGGTTGTTCGCACCAGCTCTTTGGCGTGGGTGGCAAAAGTGACGATGCCATACCTGGGGAAGGTGTCATAGCTGGAGATCTACAAGAGCAGGCCCGGGGGGGGGGCGGAGAGAGATGAAACAAGACATGTCAGACACAGACGTTATTTTCCCTCCACAAGACAGTCCATTATTTACTAGGAGGTGGCTTGTTTTTTTAACCTGGAGGATGGTCGAACACCTGAAGAGGAGGAGGAAAGGAGCACGTGCCGGCTGGTGAACGGGGGATCCAACCAAGGAGGCGGGCATGCGTATGAACTGGCGTAAACCTCTGAACTGCGGTTCATGGCCATCTGTAATTGTTGATTACTTCACGAGCTGCACACAACCCCAAAAAGGACCCAAATGTGGCTTTCCGGCATCACAAAACAGTTGTGGGATTTATTTTGGGATTGTCCATTGGGAGTGCCCATGCAAAGGGGTGGGTGTGCGCGCGGGTGGGCATGCAGGCACTCCTGTGCATGCACGAAGGGGTGGGGGAGCGCTCACGCTGGCTCTGTCAGGAGGAAGCTCCCGCACTGCTTCGCGCATGCACCCGAGAGAGAGCATCCGCGGGGGGTGCCCCGCCTTCCTCAGAGCCTCAGCCGGTCTGTGTGGTCCCAAAAAGGTTGGGGACCGCTGGCCTATTCCGATTTACCCAATTTATTTATTATTTATATTTTTACCCCAATTTTCCCACCAATAAACAAAGACAGTGTACAGTACATGCCTCTTTCCGCCTCCCTACTGAATCTTAAAATCAATCCTGCAAGAAAAGTCAGTTTGAGGACGAGAGGCTGGCCCAGTGGCAACCAATGCAGTTTATGGCTCTGCGGAGACTTGAATATAGATTTTTTTCAGTTTTTTGGGGGCAATCCATGACAAGGCCTTGTCGGGCTTCACATCCTGCAGTTTCTCTGACAGGAGAACATGTGTCATGTATACACGAGAATAGTGTCATGGTAACCCTAACATAATCCTTGAGAAGCCAATAGAACCTCATATTTTATACTCGTCAGTCACTTTAGTTCTAAAAAAAAAAATATCTTGTCCCTTTCCATTAACAAATTTCCAAATTAATCCAGAACCATTTGATCAAAAATATTAGTTCCTGGGCTCTCCCCTGATACCTCTGTGTCCCAAAGTCCCCACGTATGCTTTTATCTTATTTTACTGGAAATGCTGTGCAAGAGAGCAGACTTTTGCACCTACATACACCCCTGGCACAGGAATTTCTTTGGGTAAGACTGGGAACAAGCAAGAAAGCCTACTGAGCTGACCCCACCTTTTCAATTAACTTGATTGACATGTTCTGAGCGTGCTTGAAACTTGGCTTGCCAATGCTTCGGGAAGCGTCGAGGACCAGGTAAATGTTCATTAAGCCATCCTTCTCAATCTTGATTTTACGCTTCTCCAGCACAGCTGTGGGAAGAAACGAGTGAGAGATCAGGAACAGATTTCGGCCAGCATCAACACAGTCTAGGCCAATGATGGCGAACCTTTTTGATCCCGAGTGCCCAAACCGAAAAGAACAACAACAACAACCCAGCGGGTGGCGGCGGTGGAAGTGGTGGCGGCAGAAGCAGCAGCAGAAGGGGGAATCCCAGGCACAGAGGTACCTCCAGACCCCACTCCGGATCCGCTTCTAGTCATGCCCAACCCTGCTACTGCCTATAGCTCGGCGGGCCTGCTGCTGCCAGCGCCAGTTGCTCCAGATCCTGGCCTGCCAGCTGTCGGGGTGCTAACACCGTGGCTGCAGCTGACTCCTCAGGTTTGGCTGTCAGGGGTAGCGATCCAGAGACTTATGGCTTGCGCGCCCACAGAGAAGGCTCTACATGAGAGCTGTGGCACACATGCCATAGGTCTGTCATTGCTGGCCTACGCTGTGAGAACACAGGGGGAACAGATCACCTATTGGACTTCTTCTGGAGCAGTCTGGTGTGATCTGCTTCCCACGAATCACATGATGTGCAGGGCAATGCACACCAGCTTGATCCCGATCTGTGCCCACGTGGATCCTCTTGATCTGGCTGTAGACGGCTTCTACTTCTACTTTAATGGAAATCACTCACATTAAAGTTATACGTTCTGGTGTGGCCAGCTGCAAGCTTTTGCGACAAGCTGATCACACCCTTTGCCCTTAGCATGTTACCTCTACGGCAGCCTCATAGAATCATCGTAGGGTAGGAAGGGACCTTGGAGGTCTTCTAGTCCAGCCCCCTGGAGCATCATGAAAGATGGCTCAGAGATGGTTCAAAGGAGTCTGTTTCAGTATTTCCAATTACTCCATTCAGATTTTGGACATCCAGCAGATCAGAAATATTAGGTATTGGCAGTTAGAAATATTGGCTAGAATCTTTTGGGGCATTTCTACCTATTACTTACACGTACATAAAGGAAAGCACACAAGGAGGGGCAATATCGACACTGCCCCAGAGAAAAATCGATCGATTCTGCGGTGTAGCCAGCAATAGCATTACAAACAGGAAGAAATGAGTTGATATTGTTAAAACCAATGGGACCATTCCTGCTGGCATATATACCACATGACCGCGAAAATAAGTGCATCGGTACAACAGAGATATGGAAAGAATAAGTATAACTGGGGTCCTTTTGGCAGGTGTGATTAGACACTAAACTGGATGCTAAAATGGTGAATGTTTGGTTAAGCAAATTTATCAGTAGAGATGGGAGCTTTACATTCGTCTCTTGAGAGAGATGAATATGAAGCTCGCCACCACAGGTAGCCAGTCCAATTGGACCCTCCCTCCCTAAACCGGGTGTCCACTTATTGCTTGCTGTGGAGTGAGGTGTGTGCAGCTGTCATCCTTTAGTAAAGGTTCCCCTTGGCGATATGTCCAGTCGTGTCTGACTCTAGGGCACGGTGCTCATCCCCGTTTCCAAGGCGTAGAGCCATCGTTTGTCCAAAGACAGTTTCCGTGGTCACGTGACCGGCGTGACTAGACACGGAACACCGTTACCTTCCCACTGAGGTGGCACCAATTTATCTACTCGCATTTTTACATGCTTTCGAACTGCTAGGTTGGCAGGAGCTGGGACGAGCGACGGGAGCTCACTCCGTCGCGTGGATTCGATCTTATGACTGCTGGTCTTCTGACCCTGCAGCACAGAGGCTTCTGCGGTTTAACCTACAGCGCCACCACGTCCCTATCGTCCTTTGCACCATGCCAATTGCTTCTCAACCTCCCTATGCTGCTGACCCATCCAGCAGGGAGCGGGATGAAAAGCCTCCTTGCTCAGCTGCGGATTGATCAGCAGCACAGGGAGGTGGGGAAGCCCCAGCCAGTCTACTGTACTTCCATGATTGGTGTGATGCAAAGGACAATAGCCACGTGGACTGCCCTGCAACTGTTAAATGGACGCCTGGTTGGGGAGTGGCGGGTCCAAATAGACTGGCAACTTGTGGTGGCAAGCTTTAGATTTGTCTCTCCCAGGATATGAATACGGAGCTTCCACCTCTAGTTACCAGATTAAATGGAGAGAAAACTGTACTGTATAAGTAGGTGGTAATTAGAAATTGATCAGCCTTTCCTTAGAAGCTGGAGCTGATGTTTGTGACTGAGCAATTCTAATTATAAACAGAGCCTATGCTTTTCTTGCAGTGTGTGTCGTTTAGTTGTGTCCGACTCTTCGTGACCCCATGGACCAGAGCACGCCAGGCCCTCCTATCTTGCAGTAACCAATCCCAAAACAAAGCAAGATAATCTGCAAACGTTGGGAGGTGCAAAAGACTCCCACTCTGACATTTTCAGCAATTAAGGAATTCCTTCTTCTAATGACGGGTTATCTGCAATGTCTAGTTTGGCCCCAAGTAACCAAAAAAAAAAAAGTTTTTGAGAGGTACTAAAATATAATCAGGTTGCTGCTCATCCTAGCGCTGCTCGTCCTAGTTGAGGGGAAGAGAATTCCCAAGGCAGGTGCCCACAACTGAGATATCACTTCCTGCTCAGAAAAGTGTTGAGCCTTTAGCATTTCTGCCACTGTTCTGCAGCTGCAGAGTCTTGTTCCGGGCGCCACACTGCTCACAAAAGCTTACAATTATTCTTATCTGCATCCAGGGTCTCAACCGCTTCTGTGAGGGATGCAATGAACTTGGAGGAGACTTCTTCCGGAGTGTCGAAAGTAAATGGGCCTGGAATAGGAAACGAGGAAACAGAAAATTAGCAAGAGAAGGGGGGGGGGAAATCTACCACACGGGACCAAATGTAGAAAGTTCTGATGTTACCCAGAGAAAAGGCTGTAACCTAAAAGGGGAAGAAGATTTATTTATTTATTTATTTATTTATTTATTTATTATCTTACTGATTTTTTATCTTACTTTATCTACTGATAAAATTGCCTTTTATCTTTATTTATTTATTCAAATAAATAAATAAAACAAACAAATAAAGAAGATATTTGGAGGAAATATGATTGAAGGGTTTTGGCTTTGGGATTATCAGCTACCGTGAAATCTTCACTGCATCCATAATTTGGAAAAGTCGCCATTTGCCACTGTTCAGTCCAAGAATCCCCCAATTAATTTGGCCACTGGTGGATATATAGTGTATCCCTCAGGTAGGTCACTTGCAGGACTTAGCGTCCAATCAAAGACTCTAATCTGCCAACCCAACGCCATTTGCTCACTTAGACATTCTGGTTCCGCTCCGCTCCAGGATTTCGATTCTTGGCAGACCCGTTCTTTCGATCCCACAAGAGTGAGTCCTCTGTCACAAGTGTAGCGGACCCGATATTCTATCCTGTACTGGACGCCAGATTTTCGAGCACCAATTGGGATACCAGGGTTCGGACAGTGACCAGCTGAGGAGGAAAAGAGACAACACTGTAAAGCACATGGGTGTAATAGCACGGGCTTTTGAGAACACTCAGAGAAACATCTGCTCCGGCAGATGCTCAGAAAACTGCCAGAGATACAGCAAGATTCTACGACTTTCAGTCATTTCTGTTCCCTTTACCCTGGTATTCTGACCTCTGCCACAGAGTCAAGTAAATACAGCTGGGTCCCGGATCCCTATTGTCAGGCAACTATGCTCCTTAAATTGATTCATAGCTGACCCCTTCCAAAACGTCTGTCCCTACAGAGAGGGGCAGGTTGCAAGCACTCACTCTTTTGATATGCCTTTGCTGATGAACACAGTTCATTGAGATCGCTCTGCTTTTCTTTCGTTTCATTGATTTATACTCTACCTTCCTCACTCAAAATGGAGCCGAGTTTTAGTCAAAGCTATGAGGACTGAACATGGTGATGTCCAAATCCGAGTTTTGGGGTGAGAGTCTCAAGTCTCTACCTGGGGAGTTGTAATCACAGCAGCCGCCATCTTGGACTTTATTATATATAATCACAGCCGCCATCTTGGCCTTAGAGGCCTCCCATGTGCATGTGTCTGAGCTAGGAGGAACTCCAGAGGCAAGGACGGCAACTGTGGGAGTGTGTACTTCCATGTCCTCTCCACAAGTATTGCTTCTTGAGCTCCAGGAAGGAGGGAGGTAGACAGAGGGCCCTTGGGCTAGGGACTTGACAACGCAACCCAGAAAAATGGGTCTGAATCGTGAGTCGAATCAGAATCTTTTCAAAAAAGATCTAAGTAGAGTCACAGGTGCAACTTAAGTTGGGACTCAGCCGTGAGCGATGAGACCCCACCGGTCGATGGGTACAATCAAAACACTGACATGAAAAGTGGGGACGTACACCCTTGATTGTTTCACCCTCGCACAAAATGAGGCACACTGACGTAACGATTTTCCTTGCTCGGTGAGAGAATGAGGTGTTTTATGGTACTCTGAAAATAACCCCACCCCAGTCCACAAGACTGATCAAAACATCCCGGATCAATTAAGCAACATTGGCCAGATAAGACCTTCATGCAAATCGCTGAAAAAGACACTGGCAGCTGCTGAATAGTTAAGGAAGAGAAGCATCAGGTAGGTTGTATGTATCTCTTTTAACAATCAGCCTGGCATTCTGTGTCTATGCTTGTGTTTTGCTTCTCAAAGGGCTCGGATTTTTGCACAGACAGCTTGGCCGATTCTGACCTGGAGATGAGGACTTTTACAAGGTTTAGAAATGTGTCGCTAAGGGGACCCAACCGAGCTGAAACTATGACAAGCATGAAGGAGACAGTGAGCGATTCCTCACCTCTCTCTTCCAAACCTTATCACCCACCTCCTTCCCAAAGAGGAAGCATCCTCAGATGGGTCCGTGTCACTGAACATCGTCGGACTCACCTCCGTCGTCACATCTGGTCGTCTCTCCACTCCACTTCCCATTGGGGAGGCAGGTGCGCTTCTGGGACCCGTACATTTTGTACCCTCCGTAGCACTCAAACGTCAGCTCCTGGCTGATGTTATAGTACAGCTGCTTTGGTTCATAGAGGCCATTCTCAAACTCCACAGGCCTATGGCAGCGGATGTCTGGAAGGGATAGCAAATATCAGCAACTGGAATCTAGGGACGGACTGTCTACTTCTTCCATCTACACACCACACACCTAGCCATAGTTCACCTTTTCCATTCATAAGGCGGGGAGAGGGATCACACCGAAAACCTGCCTAGTCGAAGATTTTTTTTCCCCAAGGGTGGCCAGTCAGTAGCCTATAAGAAACCTGCTTAGGAGGACGTAAGTAGCCACACCTTCCAACAGCAATGTTGCCAAAGCTGCAACCGTTTTTTAGGGTACCGGGTCAACAAGACTCAAGGCAGATAAAAGAAAGAACCTCTTCGCATTGGTATATAGTTAATCTGTGGAATTTCATATTACAAAACAACACCGACGGCAGCCATCTTATATGGCTTTATAAAGAGGTTTGATAATTTCATGACAGATGGGACTGCCACTGGCCGGAGATTTTGCCCTCCCTAATGTCTGCTGAGGACTGTTGTTGAAAGTAGTCATGTTTGTAAGTTTGCTGGTGATTTGTAAGTAAATAAGTACACTGCCTCCTAAATGCAAAGCGGTTGGGAATTCACATAAGTCACCCTCCCACTCCAGCAAAATCGTTACTCCCTGTCGTCTCACTGGTTGCATGATCGGTCCACAAAGCTAGTCATGTGACTGCCAAGCCAACCAGAGTAGGAGTGTTACTGATGCAATTTCTCTTGCACTTCGTACTCCGTTGACAAGTGACCAGCCTAAGTGTTTCGTTTGGCATAACCTTTCTGTGGATTGTTGCCCACTTGTGTCAGTCAGAGATGCACAGAGCCCAATGAAGTGAGCTGTAATCCAGAGATGTTTAGGCTAAACAAAACTTGGTAGACTTCAAAGTTCCACAGCACTCTGTTGTTTTTGCTTGGATATTACCGGTGTTATTTTTTTTTTAAACAAAACACACTGCTATAATTTAATGTAATTAATTACATTTAATTACTAAGTAATTATTTAATTATTTAATTTAAACCCATTAAACAATGCTACCCTTGTGTTACTTTTATTAAAATATCCAAGCAAAAACAACAGAGATTATATATTTTTTAAAGTAATACAACGGTAGTATTGTTTAACTGGGTTTTAATTAAATCATATTTATGTAATAATTATTTAATAATTAAGTAATTAATAATAATAATTAGATACTTTATTGTTTTCTTTTTTTAAAAAAAACATCACTTGCACTTTAATTATTGTGATGTGCCTTGAATCCCGCTCAGATCCTCATGGCACAGCAGCTAAACTGCAGTCCTGTAGTCAAGCCTCTACTCGTGACCTGAATTCAGTTCTAATGGGTGTAAGGTAGCTGGCTCAAGGTTGACTCAGCCTTCCATCCTTTTGAGACCAGTAAATTGAGTACCCAGCTCGCCGCGGTGGGGATGGTGGACAATGTGTGGCCTGCCTAATTAAATTGTAAACCACCCAGAGAGTGCTTTGCTCACTTTGCTTTATGGGAGAAAGGAGACATAGAAATAATATAAATATATATATTGAAGATTTGGGGTGTGTGTGTGATGTAATGAGTAACAAGCCCCCATCACTTCCAAAATGTGTTCACATGGATATATGGTCCATTTGTGGAATGTGGAGCCTGATTAAGACAGTCTGCCCTTGGAAACGTATGGAATCTGATGGACTACCTAGTTTCCCCGAAAATATGAAATAACCTGAAAATAAGCCCTAGTAGGATTTTTCAGGATGCTTGTAATATAAGCCCTACCTCAAAAATAAGCCCCCGTTAAGTGAAACCCTGCCCTCCGCCCTTGTGCAGTAAACAGAAGAAGATGACAGGACTGTATTTGAATCAATGCAGAGGGTTGCACATGAAAAAAACAAAACATCCCCTAAAAATAAGCCCTAATGTGTTTTTTTCGGAGGAAAAATTAATATAAAACCCTGTCTTATTTGGGGGGAAACACGGTACTAACCCCTGAGCCCATGAGGTCCAGAGTGTAAAATCCGCTCACTGCACCACCGCTTCCAGAGTACTGTGAAATACAGACTCTTGTTTAGGAATCTAGAACTGTCCTCATACCTTGGCACTTGGCTTGACGGACGGTGTTGCCAAAGGCGTTTGTCATTGTATTCCACCACCTGCCGTAATCGCAAGTCCGGAACTCTGTTGGGTACGGATATTGTCCCTCCGGGCATTTATATTGCAGCACCGTGCCATTCTCCAGCACCGTGTAGTCGCCACCTATGATCTGAGCTTCTCGAGGGTCACAGGTTCCATCAATGGCCTCTGCAGGGAAAACATCATAGAAAAGTTTCAAAGGTTCAGATCATAACAGGCAAGATCACGATCCATCGCTCTAGGGTTGACGGCACGGACACTGGCCAGGTGACTCTGTGCTCCGCTACCATTCAAATACTTCTTTATCTATTTACGTCTTCTATGCGGTCAAGTTAAAACCAACGTATAGCAGCCCAAATAGGGCTTTCGAGGTAAAAGAAATGTTTAAGGGGTCAGTTTTACCATGGTCACCCCTCACCCTCTGCAGATTTCTGTGGATGAGCAAAGATTCAATCCCATATCTCCCGAGTCCTCGTCTACCTGGGTTACTATACTAGCTTACTTTTATAGTCTCGTAATGAGTGCAAAGCTGATTGGTTGGCTCAGTGAGGTAGATCATAGGGCTTTCGAGGTAAAAGAAATGTTTAAGGGGTCAGTTTTACCATGGTCACCCCTCACCCTCTGCAGATTTCTGTGGATGAGCAAAGATTCAATCCCATATCTCCCGAGTCCTCGTCTACCTGGGTTACTATACTAGCTTACTTTTATAGTCTCGTAATGAGTGCAAAGCTGATTGGTTGGCTCAGTGAGGTAGGTCTCTGACTGTGCAGCCAGAGGTCGGGAGTTTGATTCCCCCACTGGGTCTCCTGGGGGAAAAGCCAGCCTGGGTGGCCTTGGGTCAGCTGCAATGTCCCAAAAGAAGGGAATGGGAAACCATTTCTGAAGACTCTCTTCCTAGAAAACCCTGTGAAGCATCACCATAAGTTAGAATTGACTAGGCAGCATGCACGCACGCACGCACGCATGAACGCACACACACACACCCCACACACACCAGGCTGGCTTTTTTCTTTTCCTTTCACAATAGCTTAATCTGTAATAATTACTAGGTGATAATACTTACAGTGAGAAAGGACTTAGCCAGATGGAACTTTTGTACAAATAATAGGTTTTACAGAGCGCCCTTTTTTCCTACCATCAAAACAACCTAAGCCTTCTCTCACTTCAGTGCCTGGTTTTGAGGGTGAGATTTTGGAGTTTCTGAGAAATGGTTCGAGAGGGGATTTTAAACAGATTGTCGTGCTCTGTCGTTTTAAATATGTTTTGGTATTGGTTTTATTACTATAATACAGTACTTGTTTCATTCTTTTTAAAAAAAACATTTGTATACCTACTGTTTTTAGCTTTTAAAGATTGTCTTTTAAATGATGTAAGCTGCCTTGGGTTCTTTTTAAGGAGAAAGGTGGGCTAAATATATGTCAAATGAATAATAAATAATCTGGTCTCTGTTTGGTTGTGCATAGGGGGTTGTTTAGCCCTACCATACTTCCCAATGGACAGTCATACTCACCACAGAGCTTCCTTGACAGATGCTTTCAATTCTCACTCAAAAAACAAACAAACAAACAAACAAACAAAAAACAACCCCAAATCTGCTGAAGGAAATGGGAAAAAACACTCCAAAAAGCAACAAAAAACCCCAAGACCCATCGGAAATGGGGGGGACAACATGGTCAAAAGCCCGGGGGGGGGGGGGGGAACAAACGTTCCTTCATGTTCTGGAGAGGGAGGCTGCATTTGAAAAACTGTGATCCTCCCAAATAGAATCATTTTCTCCTATTGTGAAGGGAATATGAAGAAAAAAGCAGGCCTAATGTTCTCCCCTTTTGTTATGTGCCGTCCAGTCAGAACCAATTTATGGTGACCCTAATAAGGCTTTCAATGTACCCTATATCCATGATCCCTATATCCATGAGAACAATATCCATGGTTTCACTTATATGCAGTCCAAAAATAAAGTCATGCCCCGCTGGACGATTACCCCATATAACAATGAATCCGCTTCATTATGATGTTTTTGCGATCACTTTTGCGATCACAAAACGATGGTTTAAATGGGGGCTTTTCGCTGTGCGATGATCGGTTCCCTGCTTCGTGAACCGATTTTGGCTTTACGACGATCAGCAAACAGCTGATTGTAGGGTTTCAAAATGGCCGCTGGCTGAAGAAAATGCCCCCCCACTGTTTTTAGGACTGATTTTTCGCACTACAGGCACCAAAAATGGCCGCCCCTATGGAGGATCTTCGCTGGACGAGCAGGTATTCAGCCCATTGGAACGCATTGAACGGTTTTCAATGCATTTTAATGGGTTTTTTAATTTCGTTTGACAACGTTTTCGCTCTACAGCAATTTCGCTGGAATGAATTAACATCGTCAAGCGAGGCACCACTGTATTAAAAGAAAAAACAAGAAACATGGATTCTCACCATGTATTTACTGGAATTGGCCACTAGATGGAGCCAGAGACCATGCCACTGTATGCTTGTTGTTATAGAATCCTATACATAGAATGGTCTCTGGCTCTGTCTAGTGGCCAGTTCTGGTAATACATGGTGAAAATACATTTTTCTGGATTTTTTTCTTTCACCATGCTATGTATACTGTTTGCTATTATCTGTGATTGTCAGCATCCGTTGTGGAGGGGAGACTCAGAACCAATCCCCTGTAGATACAGGGATCCTAGTGTATATGAGATATGTAAGACAGGTTTTACCAGTTCCACACCCCCAGCCTTCCATGGCTGAGTGGGGATTGGAACCCAGCCCCCCTGAGTCCTAGCCAGTCATTCTATCCACCATACCACACTAGGTATGAGTCTCCCCTTCACCTGTTATTAATTGTAAGAGGGAATAATCATCTAGCTAGGGCTTATAGCTTTCCCTCAACTTACCCCAAGAGAAATGCAGTGGGAGCCTGAACATTATTTGCGGTAAATTACTTCCTCAGAGTTAATTTGAGCGTCAAAATCTGGTCCACACGTTAGTCAGGAGCAGAGGTATCCTGACTGAGCACACCTACTTTCAGCAATAAATAAATCCAGCTGGCCATCAATTCATCTGAACATTGCACCCATTTTTATATTAAGGAATGTGGGCCTGAAGCAAACAGCCCCTTATTTTATAAATTTATGCCCATAGGTGAGGAAGTGTGGCATGAGAAACAGCCCTGTCTCTTGTCCTGCAGCTAAGGAGGCATTTGAGCCAGGATTTCCAATATCTGAATTTAGCATTGCACCATCTACCGCACACATGCAAATATACAGGGACGAGAAATGGTGCAATATTGACATATTTTGAATGCCGGGAAATCCCCAGGCAATAGCAGGGGTTCCAGGTTGTTGTTTTTTTCCAGTGACCCTGCAGTTCAGCCTACTTCGTATAATGGTTAATCCAATTTCTGATTATTCGGCATCATTTCCTGTAAAAAGCTCACAAGGCTGAAGTCTGGCTGAAGTCTCGCTTTATCAGTGCCATGACAAACATGAAGAAGAAGAAAAGAGATCCTGTTTCTTTTTAAACAGCAGCATAAGCTTCGAGCATACATATATAGGCAGAGCAGGCACCCACTCAACGTTTCCTATGGCCGTAAGAGAAGAGGAAGACCTAGCATGAAGTGGATTGACTCACTAAGGAAGCCATATAGCTTGCAGGACCTGAGCTATTAAGGATCTTTGGGGGAGGGGGTCAGTAATTCATCATGTTGCCACAGGTCAGAAGCAACTTGACTGTGCACATCAACAGAGCCTCCCATCTCGCGGTGAACTGCTAGTCCTATACCGCCTCAGACTGGAAGATGCACTTTCACATAGCTAAATGCCCCTTCCTTAAAGCATAATAACATCTGTATATAGCCAACTCGAGAGCCAAGGAAAGGAATTAATGAGGTACCATCTTTCCACAGCAATTCTAGTTTTCTCCATTGAATTATTGCTATGGAAGAGTGTTCAAGCTTTGAAGCTTCCTTCTGAAATGTAAGATACCCAGTGTGATGTAGTGGATCGACTAAGGAGACCTGGGTTCGAATCCCTTCCTGGCCATGAAAAGTCACTGGGATAGCTGGAACTGGTAAAACCACTCCTTAAATATCTCACTTACCTTGAAAGCCTTATTAGGGTCATTGGAAGCCAGTTCCAACTTGACTTGGTAAATCATTGGGGGTGATCTTTGCATCCACGTGCAAGGATCCAATGGTTTATGGACAGGAAACCCCAGTGAACTTCAAGAGACCCTATTAAGCCAATTTGTCTCTTTAAGTAAAGGTAAAGGTAAAAGTTCCCCTTGACAATTTTTGTCCAGTCGTGTTCAACTCTAGGGGGCGGTGCTCATCCCCGTTTCCAAGCCATGGAGCCAGCGTTTGTCCGAAGACAATCTTTCCGTGGTCACATGGCCAGTGCAACTTAGACACGGAACGCTGTTACCTTCCCACCGAAGTGGTCCCTATTTATCTACTTGCATTTGCATGCTTTCACACTGCTAGGTTGGCAGGAGCTGGGACAAGAGACGGGAGCTCACTCCGTCGCGTGGATTCGATCTTATGACTGCTTGGTCTTCTGATATAGTGTTGAATTGGCTTGCCGATCAACCAATTCAGTGGAGGGATACCATGAATTTAAAAAATGACAACACCCAAGCCTTGGCATTCTCCTCCATTTCCTCCTCCATGGGGAAGCAAGAGGAACTTTAAATTTCCTAATAACCACTTAGAAGGTGAAGCGGCTTAAGCAAAGGGACAGCCAGCGATCTGCTGTGGTTTGATCCTGTCCATCAAGCATGCCTGAACTGAACTAACATGGATAAGGGCATATAATACCACCAAGAAAAGTAAAGCTAGGCATGGATGAGGACAAGCTGGTTCACAATTGCCAGTGTGTCCTGTGGTCAGCAGGAAAAGGAGTGAACCAACCTGTTTCCATCGCAAACCAAACCATGTGACAAAGCCCCATCTGATCACAAATTGCTGTTTAAAAACCCCAGTGAAGAAGAGTGGTTGTAAAAGTTAGACCCTTGCTACCCAAGCAGAACAGAACCGTCCCCCATGGCCCACATTAGAAAACCTCAAATGTTACAAATACTGTATTTGTGAAGGCTTTCACGGCTGGGATCTAATGCTTGTTGTGGGTTTTTCAGGCTCTTTGGACATGTTCTGAAGGTTGTTTGTCCTGATGTTTCGCCAGTCTCTGTGGCTGGCATCTTCAGAGGACTTGAGTAGGAACAGAGCATGTACAGAGTTCCTACTCGAGTCCTCTGAAGATGCCGACCACAGAGACTGGCAAAACATCAGGAAGAACAACCTGCAGAACACGGCCAAAGAGCCCGAAAAACCCACAACAACCATTACAAATACTCTTACTCAGAAACCACCTCACGCAAGAGATGTTGAAAGCCATCTTCTGACGGCATAAAAAATACATGTGTTCTGTGCATGGCATCAGTATTTAGGGAGGCTTTCGACACTGATCCTAACTGATTTCCATTTTACGCTCCCCGTCCTGTCATCATTCAGATCATTGCCCTTGGTGCCATTTGTTCTCATCTTACAGTGGGGTCTCTACTTAAGAACATCTCTACTTAAGAACAATCCAACTTAAGAACAGCTCCATTTGCTAAATTTTGCTTCTACTTGAGAACAGAAATCCAAGATAAGAACAGGAAAAAAAAAACTTTCCTGCTCTTTTTTTAACCTTAGGTCATCTTAGGTTAAAAAAAAATTCTCCCCCTAGTGGTAGAGTACGTATTAACCAGCTTTGCATTAGTTCCTATGGGAACTAATGCTTC